CTTCTTTCTTCTACTGGTTTGGGGTTTCTTGTTGTTCTTTTTCTAGATCTTTGAGCTTCGAGATTAGGTTGTTTCTTTGCGTTCTTTCTTGTTTCTTGATGTGAGCTTCTATTGCTATATATTTTCCTCTTATTACTGCTTTTGCTGCATCCCATACATTTAGGATATTGGTGTCCTCCTTGTCGTTCAATTCAAAAATTTTTTAATTTCTTCTTTGATCTCCTCATTAGTCCAATGGTCTTCCAGTAGTGTGGTTTTAATCTCCATGAGGTAGGAAAGTTCCTTGCCTTCTTTTTATGGTTTATTTCTAGTTTGACGCCTTCATGGTCAGAAAAGATGGTTGATATGATTTCAATCTTGGTGTATCTGTTGATGTTTGTCTTGTGCCCCAGTATGTGATCGATCCTGGAGAATGATCCGTGTGCGCTTGAGAAAAATGTGTACTCCGTTTTTTTGGGTTAGTGTTCTATAGATGTCTGTTAAGCCCAATTGCTCTAGGTCCTTATTTAGAGCTTTGGTTTCTTTACTTATTTTTTGTCTTGTTGATCTATCCATTGTTGATAGTGGTGTGTTGAAGTCTCCCACTACGTATGTGTTTTCTCTGATGTCTGTTTTCAGAGAGGACAACAGTTGTCTGATATATTTTGGTGCTCCTTCGTTTGTGAGTAGTATATGTTAATGAGTGTTATTTCTTCTGAAGTATTGTCCCCTTGATCATAATGTAGTGACCATTGGGGTCTCTTTTTATCTTTTTGAGTTTGAAATCTGTTTTATCTGATATAAGTATAGCTGTTCCTGCTTTCTTTTTGGTCCATTTGCTTGTAGGATTGTTTTCCATCCTTTAACTTTGAGCCTATTTTTATCTTTTGTAGCTAAATGTGTTTCCTGGAGACAGCAAAAGGTTGGGTTTTGTTTCTTAATCCAGGCTGCAACTCTGTGTCTTTTTATTGAAGAGTTTAGTCCATTACATTTAGAGTTAATATTGATATGTTAACATCTGTATTTGCCATTGTGTTTGTCTTTCCTTTGATTTTATTTATTTATTCTTTTAATAACTTTTTTTTTTTTTTGGCCTTCTTTCATTGTTATTCGTCGCTCTGAGGTTCTGGCTTTAGGACTCCTTGTAGTATTTTTTGGAGTGGGGGTTTAGTTGCAATGAAATTCCGGAGTTTCTGTTTGTCTGGGAAGGTCCATATTCTTTCTTCAAAGAGGAAGGAGAGCTTTGCGGGATAGAGTATTCTTGGTTGGCATCTGTTTTCTTGGAGTCTGTTGACTATGTCCCTCCACTCTCTCCTTGCCCGTAGTGTTTCTTCGGAGAAGTCTGATGTCAGCCTGATTGGTTTTCCTTTGAATGTTATCTGTTTCTTCCCTCTTGCCAGCTTCATTATTTTTTCCTTGTCCTGGATTCTTGGGAGCTTTACTATTATGTGTCTTGCTGTATTTTTCCTTTCGTCGTGGAAGTTTGGTGTTCTTCTTGCTTCTTGAATATCAATTTTCAGCTCCTTCTTCACATTTGGGAAGTTCTCTTCAATTATCTCTTTGAATATTTTCTCTGTTCCTACATCTCTCTCCTCTCCTCTGGTATTCCTATAACTCTTATATTTCCTTTCCTCATGGAGTCAGATAGTTCCCGAAGTCTTTCTTCGTTCTTTTTCCTTCGTACTTCTCTTTCCTTCTCTGTTTTGGTTTTTTATTTCTGTGTCTTCAAGATTACTTATTCGTTCTTCCATTTCATCTATTCTGCTTTCATTGCTTTTCCCAGAATTCTTTAGTTCTTCCATTAATTCTTTGATCTCCTGCATTTCTTTTACTTCCCTCTTTAGGGACTCAATTTCTTTCTTCTGACCATTGTTTTCCCTCTCTAGGGACTCAATTGCATTCTTCTGATCGTTGATTATTTTCCCTTATCATTGTTTTCCTTTATGACTTCTGTCAGTTTTTTAATCACGGCAATTTTAAATTCTCTTTCTGGAAGGCTCAGAAATTCTTCCAAGTTATTGTCGTTGCAATCTGGGGGCTGGCTTTCTTTTTGTGGTGTGCTTTTTCTCTGGAGAGTTGCTAGGTTGCGTGTGGTTCTTCTCCTCCCTACTGTCTGTTTTCTAATTTGCCGTATGCGTTGGGACACTGTGTTGTTGGGACTTGCCGGCATCTGGGTGGGCTTCTCTGTTCCCCTGGTTCTTCTAGGAGTCATCTGTCAGTTTCAAGCAGCCTTTACTGGAGAAAGGTCCCTGTTCTAAAATGCCGATGTGGGGACACACTCCCCTGTGCGCCTGGTCTGCCCCGGCGGTGGGTTCCTGCTCCCCTCTGGGCTTGGACTGCAGGCCAGAGGGGTCTGGCGTGGGCGAACTTCCCCCGCTCACCTCTGGCTCCTGAGGAAGCCTTCTGCAGGTAGTCTTACTGAAGAAATGTCCCTGTTCTAAAATGGTGATGTGGACACACTCCCTGCGCTTCTGGTCTCAGGCACACTATTCTGCGCGCCTGGTCTGCCCCGGCTGTGGGTGCTCGCTCTCCCTGTGGGCTCAGACTACTTGTTCAGAAGGGGCCCGGTGTGTGGGCTAACTCCCCAGCTGGCCACTAGCTCCTTCAGTAGCCTGTGCTGGGGTCAAGTCGCTAGGTGGCACCAGAGATCTCTCCTAGAGCCCTTGGGGAGCTGATTTTCCACCCCGTGGGACAGGGAGCAGAGCGGGGATGGTAGGGTACACCTCAACGGCTTTGGGGTGCTGTGTCTGCCTTGTGCCCCACCGTCGTGGGGAACCCACGCCCCTAATTTCGTGCCCCGGGTCTCAGTTCCAAAGCCCTCAGTTCCAGGACGCGGGCTGTAGCCCAGATCAGTGGCGCGGGAATGGCGCCTTTTGAATCCCGCTCCCCTGCCTGGGCGCCTTGTTCCTGCTCACTCAGGGAGGGCCTCCGCCCGGGTCTCAGTTCCAAAGCCCTCAGTTCCAGGACGCGGGCTGTAGCCCAGATCAGTGGCGCGGGAATGGCGCCTTTTGAATCCCGCTCCCCTGCCTGGGCACCTTGTTCCTGCTCACTCAGGGAGGGCCTCCGCGTCTCCCCCTCCCCGCAAGCCTAGGTCGCAGGCGCAGGGCCCTGGACAGCTGCAATCCGAGCGCCGCTTTCGCGCCAAGCTTACCGGCGGCGGGGCTGTGTGCTGGTGCTGGTCTCCTCCTGGTGGGCGGGGCTCTCTTTAATGGCGCCTGGAGCTCACCTCCGTGGCGGATCCTGCAGGGTTCGCCTCAGCTCCCGTTCACAGGGTGTGGTGGCTGAAATAGTTCCTTTCCACTCACAGTCCCACTTGCTGCATCCGTTTTTCTTGTTGGTCGTTTTGGTTTGTTGTTTCCTCCTCTCTGCCGGTCGGAGAGTGCCGCCTCTGTGGGCGGGGAGGGGAGCAGGGTTCTGCGCTTCCCTCCCTTCTCGTCCTCTTTATGGCAACTTTCTTCTCTCGGGCAGTTTGCTGGCGTCGTCCGTTTATCTTCCGTGTCCCGGTTCTCACTGGGACCTGCCGCTTTTCCTCCCTATTAACTTTTTTTAATGGGAGATCTTACTCGCAGCGTCTCCTCGCCGCCATGTTGCTCCGCCCCCCAGCATATAGACTATTAAGTTATATATTCATCCCAATTACACAGCCCCTCCAAAGGAACTACAATGTTCAGATCTCTAAAACAGAAGGTATATGAAAACACCACTAATTATATTTATTTTTAATAAAATTTAAAAAAATCTGTCTGTAGGCTAGGATTATTTATGTTCTGTTAGCTAGGATTATTTATGAAAACAGCTGCTGCTTTTTATGTGACATCCTTAATAGTATATATTTAACTTGCCTTCAGCAACAACAGAAGCATTTCCAACCCAATCACAATGTATACTTACTTACCTCCTAAGCCTACTCTGCTGGTTCAGCTGGCATTGAACAACCCACCCTACTCCAAGCCAAGATAAAACCTGGAGAAATCAAACAACTTTGCCTGACACTTTCAGAGAAAGAAAAGTGGACCTTTCTGTCTTACTATGCTAATGCATACAATTCTCCCCCACACCCCCAAAAGCACTGAAAGAGCAATATACTTCCACTTTTTAAGTAGCAATAAATCTTAATGTGTATTAATATACTTCCAATATGTTAATAAAATAAAGTTCTAACAAGAATGAAATAGGGGGACCAGAATTAGAAAACAGGCTCAAATACTTCTCATTCAAAATATATGTTTGCACTATATAAGTATACTTCCTTATGTTAGAAAGGAGGAAAATTAAGGAAATTAATTTAGATATTTAAATGACATAAGAAACATCATTGCTTAGAGATGCAAGCACAATCTTATTTTTTTGATTCTTGTCACTTAGCTAGTTGTGAACTTGGAAGAGTTAGCATTAAGTTCTGATAGTGAAGATTAATAAGCAAAGAGTATACATTTTCTTTGACTTATAAAACAATCATTAAAAAAAGAGGAAAACAGCTAGTGTGCTTCATTTAGCATACTCAATTATGTTATGGCTTAGAGAAGTGCTTTTCAAATTTATTACCCAGATTTGTGGCTCCCTTTTAAACCAATAAGTTTAGGATGGATCCTAAGGTTTTGTATGTTAATACCTGATGTCACCCTCTGGAACTCCTATAAAATTAGAACTCAGACTACTAGTTGAAAAACACCAATTTAAGGTAAATGCATTTATTATTACAACAGAAACCATAGAAACGTCAGATAAAACCAGTATTACATCAGGTATTTAAAATATTTTATATTACTTTACTGGTATATCAAGTTACACAGCGTTTAAAGGGCTGCTGAAAACAGTTAAGATTTATTCATTCCAGGTACAATTTCTCTCATCTTGGTTGTTAAGAATTGGACCATAGCTGTTTTTCATTGACATTGAAACGCATGTGAACTTGGAATTGTTTTTTAACGTCTAGTTGATTTTTAATGTCTTAGAGTTGTCATTATTTAAAATAAAATGGAAAATCACAGTACTTTTTGTTGTTTCTTTTTGGTTTCAAGGGAAGACGAGGAAAAACCGGTCCTCCAGGAAAACCAGGCCCCCCAGGACCACCTGTGAGTAAATAGCTGGATGGCTGCTCCTTCAGAGAGCCCTTCTATTGTTTTTGTGTTCATTTAGGGTGTCTTACTGCTCTGTAGTTAATAATTTCTATCTTTTTATTTCTACTCATGAATCCATTTCCTTCCCTCTTTCCTCATTACCACCCCTTTGGTTTAAATCCCTTTCAATCCATATCTAGATTTCTGTAGCTATCTCAGCATTGGTCAAATTGCCTCTGCCTTGTGCAGAGTAATATTTCTAAATCATAATTCTGACTATATAATTCTTTGATTTGAAATTCTTTATTAACTTCCCTTTTCTTCCATGTCTTCTGCATGCCTTTCTACATCCTTCATACTTTGCTCTTTACCTGTCTGTGCCTGTCCTCCTCTGTGCCCTTCCTTCTTTTATAGCCTATAGTGTGATCTTCCTTTACTGCCTCTAACATGTCATACATTGCACATATTCTCCTGGAGGCGTAGGTAAGTGTCCCTCAGTCTTCGTGACTCAACTCAACATCAGTCCTCCTACATAACCTTTGCGGGGGTTTCAGCAAGAGAAGTGTTATCCTCCATGATCCTTATAATCTTATACCTCCTACAGGTCTAGCACTTTGCCTGGTGACTGTTATTGCCCTTATCTGTCTGCCCATTGCACTATAATTTTTTTTAACCTCTATTTTATCACCACAGCCTAGCACAGTTTTCTGGCATGTAGCATGTAATTATTAATTATTTAATGAATGAGTGAGCAAATGAGTAATTGAGCAAATGAAAACCAGAAAATAATTGATTTTTTAAAGACCAGAACCACCCTCCACTACTACTAGAGGGCTCCAGACTTTGCGCCGTAGGATTTTCTCAGGGTGAGGTCAAGTGCCAAAAATGAACAACAACTTTTGTTGATTGCTGTCCAGTCATTGATTATGTTCATTTTAACCATTCAAGTGAATTGTTCTGAAGGGTTATCAATGTACTCATATCAATTGAAACTGGTTATAGAAGTATGTGTGGGGAGGAGGTATCAATTGGGTATCTTAGAATCTCGTCTTTAAAGGAATCAGCTTTGATTTTTATTCCAAATTTTCTGGAAAAACAGAGACCACATTGTAAGATTTTCAATAATTGCCTTGTGCTTTAAAGAAGAAAAGCTGGTGAATGCTAATAGGCAAGATTAGACCTTTATGTAGTTTTCTAAATGTGTGATGCTGTTTTCAAGACAGGATAATTGTTGTCTCGAAGGAGGAATTTGAATGATGAAGGCCTTTATGACAAGCTTGCCAAATGTCTCAGAGAGAAGAGGATTACACTGAATTCTGGAATGAGTTTTCAACTATAGATCAAAGGAGTTTACTGAAGAGTTTCAAAGATTAAGCAATATGTGACTATATGCAAGAATTTATAATATTCAATTCCACAGGTTTTAGTTTATTGCCAGAGTATTGGAGGAGAGAGGTACTTATTTTTTTTCAAGAATTAGAATTAGAATTTAAAATCAGTTATGGGGCCAATACAGAGTATTCATTAAAGCCTGAGTACACAGAATTTTAAAGAAAAGTGATTTCTTACTTTTGTAATATAACACAGTGCCATTTGTTAGACTCCAAAAATAATGAAAAATATATGCAAAATAGAAAAAATTTTTATTCACAAGTCAACTTTTTTGTTGTTGTTTTGTTTTATTAATTTTTTATTTTTGCTTATTTTTAATTGAGGTAATCTGGGTACCTTCATCAGGTATTGCCAGGGAAGTGTACCCACCACCCACTCACCCATAGAGTCCCCACCATAGCCCATTGTCCTTCCTTCCCTCTTTGTTCTTACCCCTCCCTCAACTCCTCCCTACCTCCCCTCCTACTTCAGTTATGTAGTCACCTATCAAGGGTTAGTTTTTAAGTTAGTCTATTTGACACTTCACTTAGTTACTTTATATTATGCATATTAGTGACACCATCTTATCTTTCTCCTTCCGACTTATTTGACTTATTTCACTTAGCATTATCCCTTCTAATTCCACCCATGTTGCCACTAATGGTATGAGTTTATCTTTTTCCATGGATGAGTAGTATTCCATTGTGTGTATATATACCACATCTTCTTGATCCACTCATCTGTTTGGGGGTACTTAGGTTGTTTCCTTAATTTAGCTATAGGAAATAGCACTGCAATAAATGAGGAGTAATTCAAGTTTCCTTTTGAATTAGTGTTTTTGAATTTTGGGGGTAGATGCTTCAGAGTGGAATTACTGGGTTAAATGGAAGATCCATTTTTAATGTTTTGAGACTCCTCCACACTTTTTTCCTGGATCAGACCCATAAGGATTAGACCCATTTGCATTCACATCCTTACCAGCACTTGTTGTTTCTAGTCTTTTTGATATGGGCCTTTCTCATGTGGTTTTGATTTGTATTTCCCTGATGTAATGATGATGAGCATTTTTTCATGTGCCTGCTAACTATCTTATGTGTTCTTTGGAGACATGTCTATATATTCCCACAGCCCATTTTTTGATTGGCTTATTTGTTTTGTTTTGTCAAGTTTTATGAGTTCTTTGTATATCTTTGTTATCAGTCCTTTATCATATGTATGGCATACAAATATTTTCTCCTATTCAGTAGGGTGTCTTTTTGTTTTAGTTATGGTTTCTGTCACCATGCAGAAGCTTTTTAGCACTGGCCAGTCAAGCCCAGGTGGGATCCTGAAGAAGTTCATGGGCAATTCTGAGATTCATGAAAAGCCACCAAAAGTTGTAAAGAGTCACAAGTGGAGAGTGCTGTGGCCACATCTCTTGGCATAAAGGCTTTGGGTGATTGAGAGAATAAGCAAGATTCATTCAGCTTTCATAGTATTACTCTTCTGAAAGTATCAGTAAAGTAATTTTTTTATCTGTTAAAATGTCCCAACTATTCATATTTTATAACAATTATGTATAGTTTAAGAAACATTCCTGTTTATTTGTGAACATTTTGAATTCAAAACATTGTTGGTTTTTATTTGTCTTTTCCAACATTGTACCCTCTGTGAGGAGAATCTTGCTACATACACAGCAGGAAGGAAGGGTTGGTTGCTCTAAAATTCTTCTGATTGAGATTTGAAGGTGATATATGACTTACCCTATTAGTTTGCAAATGAGATTCCTAAAGCCTGTGTAGAATTTCTTATGACCATGTCAAAAAAATTTAATATTAATTTTATCTTTATCAGATAGTATGCAAATAATATATACTACATTTCAAATGATGTACTAGTTTGTATAATTTCAGCATATTTGTTTGAGCAGTGGGTCTTTGGAGAAGTTAAGATCAGTGTGATCTTTGGATCAGTGTGATCATCTGAAATGAACAAAGGAATAGGAGTGACCAGAGACATGAGTCTGTGATGACAGTGTACTTTACTCCCTTTCTCAGGAAATGTTCTTCCCTTTGTGGCTTTAAAGATGTTCCCTAAATGAAAGGTGGTGTTGGTCTTTAAGGGAGTCAGTGACTGTTTTTAAAAAACCAAAACTGAAAGAGGTTCGTAATAACCCAAAGCTACTCCAATAATTAAAACCTTTTAACCAGTCTTCTACTTAGGTTTCTTTGTTCTTTTGTCACATTTGAGCTTTATTATTTTCTTAAGAAAATTTTTTTGCAAAAAATAAGTTGTTTACAGAGAATCATTTCCACAACTTTGCATTTAGCATATATATATATGCTAAATATATATATATGGAAGGGTGACCTTTTTCTGCTGAGAGAGTGTAACTGCTTCTACATACAGATTCTGCATATAATAAAATTATTCTTAAACATAATGCTTGTAATTGAGGAGCACCTAAATTGGTTGATAAAATTAGCCATAACCCTTCAAGATGAACATATTTTTTATAAAGTATGGTCCAATTTCCTGTTTCCAAGTATAATTGATCTTACCTGTCCAAAGAAAAAGCTCCAAATTCATTCAAATAACGTCAGACTTCTTGAGTAGTCTTCATTGTAGGGAATCCATTAAGAACAGATGTCTTGGATTAATAATCCCTGTGTATATACTAAGATTATAATTGAGGGCATTTTTCAGAGAGGAAGCATCTTTCTGGGGAGGAAATAGTACTAACACCTGAGGAAACAGGTTCAGAAGGGACAGATGATTGGGAGTTTATTACAGCAGTAGCTCTACATTGGGAACTTTTTTTTTTTTTAATTTTTTTTTTTAATTAAATAAATTTTTTTTTTATATTCCCCATACAATTTGCAATCCCCTCATCCTGACCCAAATCCCTCTCCCTCGCCCCCCACCCCCACCCCCCAAAAAGTGTCTCTGGTTCATAGTTTTTGTTTGATTTGATTTTCACTTTCTTATAGTTATTCCATTTTCTGGTCCCCTTTTTTAAATTTTCTAGATCCCTGCTATGAGTGAGACCATCTGGTATTTTTCTTTCTTTTTGGTCTTATTTACTGAGCAATGAATCCCTTTCAGCGTCACATGTTGCTGCAAATTGCATGTTGTGCATTCTTGTTTGCTTTTTTAATGCTGAGTAATATTCCATGTATATATGTACCACATCTTCTTGATCCAGTCATCTATTTTTGGCATTTGGGCTGTTCCAAAGCTTAGCTATTGTAAACAGTGCTGCTATAAACATAGGGTGCAGGTGTTCTTTGGAATTGATGTTTCTGTGTTCTTTGGGTAAATACCTAGGAGTGGAATTGCTGGATCCTGTGGAAGCTCTATGTTTAGTAGGTCCAGAAATCTCCACACAGCTCTCCATAGTGGTTGGACCAGTTTGCACTCCCACCAACAGTGCAGAAGAGTTCCTTTTTCTCCACACCTCGCCAACATTTGTTGTTGCTAGTTTTTTTAATATGTGCCATTCTCACTGGTGTAAAGATGGTATCTCATGGTAGTTTTGATTTGCATTTCCCTGATTGCAAGTGATGTTGAACATTTTTTCATATGCCTGTTGGCCATTCGCATTTCCTCTTCAGAGAAGTTTCTTTTTAGTTCCTCTGCCCATTTTTTTGACTGGATTATTTTCT